TTTGTATTTATATTAGGAATATCATGTAGATGGTAAAACGCTAACGAAAATTTGTTTAATCATACCCACCAATAATGTGAAGACGTCACTTCAAAATTGCACATAGTAAATGAGTTTTAAATTGTATAAAATAACTTAGTCCTACACATGTATGTAGTTTATAATTCCGAATTGAGTTTGTACCCGAAACGTGCAGACTTTTGGAAAAAAAGTCAAAATTATGTTTATAGTAATGATAAGCATGATATATTTATAAATATATTTACTTATCCCCTCCAAAAACTTGATGACGTTTGCTCAAAATTTTGCCGAATGAATGCTATCTAAATTGGACAAAATATGATGACTCTGTACTTATGATTTATCATTCCATTCATATTTTTTGGATTTGCATACATAGAGTCACTCAAAAAAATTTATGAATGAGTGAATTTATTTTATTGATTTAATCAGGAACTACAAAACCGAATGCTTTGAAATCTTGGAGATGTTTGAAACTTATCATAGGCATATTTGATCAAAATTTTCCTGAAAAAATACTATCTTAAATGTGTAAAGTATGATACTTGCGATTTATTTGCTTATAGGGAGTGTCTGAAAAAAAATATTTTATTGATTAAATCAAGAATTGCAAAACTGAATACTTTGAAATCTTGACGTTTTGAAGTTATTGTAGGCAATTTAATCAAAACGTATCTGTTTATCAACTCCAAAAAATTGATTACGTTATCTCAAAATTTTGCCGAATAAATTCTTTTGATACCGTTAATACAAGTGATAAAATCACATAAATGGATAGCATTGGACTTACAAATGTACCTAGTAAAAAAAACTCACTTCAAACAAAGATGTTTGCTTTAATGCGGTCTGTTGTTTTTTCGTCCTTCTTTTGAAGTGCAATCTTTTTTCTATTTCTAAGAGTATTTAGTTTTAAAACCTGTGTTTTTAAACAGTGTTTACATAGTAATGACATTAACAACAGCATTAAGAATTAATTAGAGTGAGCCCTCGCGGACTTTATGAACGTCACCCTCGAAAGCTTCTCAAAAAATCTTTCATCTAATTAAACCCCCAGAGCCACGTCTCCAACATTTTGAATATAAATACCTTGTTTTAAATTTTTTATTCGAGTTTATTAGTGCGAAAGCTTTATCCCTAAACCACTCGTAGCATTCCAGCTCAGACATGTGGCCTTAATTGGTGCTTACGTGTCTTCTTCTCCAACGATAATAAGAGTGGACTTATCTTAATTCCGCGGAAGCAGATTTTGTTTCTTGTGATGATAAAGAAAAAAATGTAATCGGCGGAGCGAAAATTTCAGCTAACGACAAAACCCGACATAAAGTTTTCTTCTTTACGAGCTTCGGTTTGTGTTTTATCGTTGATTCGGTCGATGTTTGATGGAAATGGACGAATTGAAAGTAGAAATCGGTGGCTAAAGCGCCATTCTACGAGTGTTATTAGCAAGGAAATCGATTGGGATACGAAGGGGGAATTAAACGGGGCGTTGAATTTCCACGGACACCTACTGAGAAATTGAGATATAGCGAGGAATACGAGGTGACTTAGGAAGTGGATCAAAATAATTTCTTTTATGACATGCCTAAAAATATCATTTTACAGCGATCATGAGCCATAATGAGTTTCAGTATATGCTGCTACATATATATGTTTTGGGGGTGAAGGTTTTAATAATAATAATAGCAACAACTTTTATTACAGCCATTACAAAATTTAACAAAGCTATAGCAACACCCTCCTGCCTTGTCCCCTTGAAGGCACTAAAAGAGGTAGTCCGACAATGCCAGTGCCATTATAGTCTAAGAGCTAGGGACCGGTGGTTTACTTTATATATTTTAGTACTCATGAAAATCAGTGAATGATGTATTATATATTTACTTTTGACAACCGATACCGGTAGGAATAAGCAATCCCTAATTCTTAAAGGAGATAAAAAAAGGTTACAGTTTATATAAATTCTCTGGTCTGGTATTTGAAGATGAATATTTATCGTGAAGAAACTATATTGCCAGAAGATTTCCATCCCTCCAAATCTTTAACTGACTAATAAAATGTTGTTTATATAAGTATATTTTTTCTACGACTACTATTCAAAATGTCAATTTTTGGAATCAAGGCATAAAATTGCCTATTGCTTAAGCCGTATACAGTAGTGTGAGAAATTTTTGTTCACACTGCACATTTGTTTGTATTAAAACGTGTTTATCATGTGGTCTGTGACTGATGCGGTTGTCATTAATTTCTCATTATATTCTGTTATTACGACTGTCCACAAAACAAAAATTGAACTGGGATTAATTTAATAAAACAAGTAACAGATTACTAGTGAACTGATAAATAATTTTGTGTGTTTGTGATTGTGTCTTGAATTTTGTCATGAGTGCCTTGAGTGAGTAAGATTTGGACATTCACAATACCCCACCAGAAATAACGTAAAACGCAACAAATGCTTCACTGAATTTGTTACTAACGATTTTTCAGGAAAAGCATGAAATAGCCTACAATTAACTATCAACTTAACATTATTAACATTTTATCAACTATGATAAGATGTTAATAAAAATGTATTGTAAAGTTTCAAACTTAAATTTGACCAGAGAGAAACTGTGATGACTAAGAATGTATCAGAGACGAATGAAAAATCCACCATTATTATTTAAAACTAATCAGATTTTACAATAACTATAATTCTTAATTAGTTATATCAAAAAATGTGTTAATATAAAAGTTACTGTAATTTAGTTATAGAAAAAGTATAGTGTATTACATGCGAAAACGTTGATTTCTCCCTCGTGCGAATTGTATGAACCTCGTGTCACATCCATTCACGCTCATGCGAAAATAGCTCTTTTTCGTACTTCTAATATATTATGCGAACCCTAACAACTAAGTATATATTGGGACAAAAGCAGTTTCTGAAAAAAATCCGGTACAAATTTTTAGTATCATTCAATTCGTTTGGGCTAAATGCAAATTTCGCAAGGGCATCTATTTCGACAGAGAGTGAGGTATTTTGCAAATTAATAAATTCTCTTATAACGCAAAAATTGTCACCTAAATAAAAAATGTGCCATTTTTGCTGACCTTTAAATGTTGGGACACCCGAGAAAATTTGCTAAGTATGCCAAGGAAATACTAATGTAATAGGTGGTGAGTACTGCCATTATTATAGTAGTATTTCATGATAGTGTTGGTTTTATTTACAAAAAAATAGTTAGTGGTGTGCTAGTTTCAGTAAAAGTTCTGAAAATAATAATTTCGCAGTACTGCAAGGAAAAATCGATTAGGAAAAATGCAGTCGTCGATGGGAAACGTCGTAAAATAGTACGCAGACAGAGGTAGAGCTTATTTGAAAGCAGAAGTACACATCAATAAAAGAGCGCAGATACCTATATTTGGAAGACTATTCAATGCGCATGAGCATTACTGTCACAGAATCAGTGGCGTCGAGAACGAATTTCCTTTACTCTTTGTTATGTTGTGATGTTAACCTATGCAACGTGGAACACCATAATCTCAACAACGTATGCAGTTTTTTCTTTTTTCTTTGTGTTTGGGTGTATTTTAGTTATTGTCGGTAAGTATACAGGCATATTACATGTTTAAGGTGTTCAAATGTTTATCAGACTTTCAGTAACTGCGAAGATGCCTTCTGCAAACAACGTCGGCATTAAAGGTAAAATATACCACAAGCAAGCACGTGAAATAATAGCCAAGGTATTTAAATTTATGAAACAAGAGTGTGACGGGCTTGGGAGATTTTCAAAATTAACTTTTGTTAATTTATTATATATAAAACTGTAAAACTCTTGTCGTGGACCTTGTGCCCGACATATAGTGAAAATATTATTTATTTGTTCGTAGGCTGGTTCGTGATGATGGTAACACATTCTAGTGACTGGACAAAGGGACTACTTCAAGTATATGCATTTTGCTTAAATGAATAATTATATTTAATTTAGAAATGAGTATGTACAAAAGAGATTTAGTCATATGAGAATAATTTGGAATAACAATAAATTGTAGTGTAGTTTAATATGCAAATATAATTATCAGAAAATGAACTTCAGTATTAAAACATTTTTAAATAAATTCAAGAAAACCTTATAACTTTGAAACTAAATCTTTGAAAGCATAATAAAACAAACATTTAAAAAATATCTAAAACAAAAATATAACAAAACTTAAAATTGGTACCATAACTCAAAATTTGGTAACAACTCAAACATTTGTAACAACTCAAAAATTTGGTAACAACTCAAAAATTTGTAACAACTCTAAAATTTGGTAACAACTCAAAAATTTGTAACAACTCTAAAATTTGGTAAGGAACATTATAGTAGTTGCGTGGTCAGCGTTCATCAAACAATATAACTGTTTAACTAATAATTTCAATGCAAATTAATCTTTAAAAATAGATCTAAATCTCAAAACGTTATCCAATCGAGAATACAAAGGGCGATTTATCATCAAAATTAAATTGAACTTTAAAAATATTAATAAAAACAAAACTTTGAACTTTTTATGAAATCGTGCACATTTTTGGAGATGTCAACACTTACCCCCTTGTGTCACAACACAAACACACACTAACAGGCAACTGGCTAGAGGACTCTGATCTTTTTTGGATCTTTCGATCTTTTATAAGTAAAGACCCCTCCAAAGGAGTTGTTTTTGCAAAATTGTTTACAAGTTACCAGTTTATTTGGGGAGTCGTAAAAGTATTTGTGTTTCCACCAAATTAGGCTTAATTAACTGTAATATGAAGATTTTTAGTGGCAAAATGTGCTTTTTGTTAAAATTAACAAATTTAAACCATGAAATTATAAAACTGGACAAAGACATCGTGTCCAGCCAAACGGCGCCAATATTTAACTGTGAAATTATAAACCTTGATTAGAATGGTGTGAAATCATAAAATCCAAGTTTCACAAGGACAACCTTGATTTTTACGACAATGACGATTGTTCTGATTCATACCAACATCTCCAAAAATAAGTAAATTTATCGCCCGTTACAAGAGGCAGAGAATGGAGACACTACAATACCTCTAAAAAATTATAAACAGAGAGTTTTGGCCGCAACAGGAATTTCTGATAAAGTTTATCGGAGCATCGTGAAGGAGACTGAAAAAGTTGAAACCACTCCAGGGGGTACATATTCGTCACCCCAAAAAGGCAAAATTCCTGCCAAAAAATTGGATCTGCCAGAGGCAGAAATTGCAGAAATCAGAAACATTATTTACAATTTTTATATCACTGAGAAAAGAAGACCTTCTTTAAAGTGTAAGTAATGAATGATATTTTTAGAAATTACCATATATACAATGAAATCTGTAGGTATATTAAACAAAATTGAACAGCAGCAATTATCTTTTAATGGTAATGTAAGTACCTTGTGGAGACTCCTGAAGAAAATTGGTTTCAAGTAAGACTCATTGGTATTTAATTTCAATCTAGTGAACTTTACATTTATTTTAGATGGCGTAAGACTTCTGATAACAGAAAAGTTATTGTGGAGACTTATGAAATTCGTAAAAAGCGAATAGAATATTTGAGAGCAGTTGAAAAGTTTCGGGAAGACAACCCAACAATTGTATATTGTGATGAAACATATATCCACAATACGCACACAACAGCAAAGGGATGGTATGATGAAAGTGCGAAAAAACTTGACACTATTATAGGCAGTGTTGTAAGTTTTGATACTACTGGCGTTTTCAAAATGTTCTGTAATTTCATGAGAACATTCGCAATAAAAAGAAACAGCTTTCACTTTGTTTGATAAAAATTTCAACAGCTAATATTTACCTAAACACAAATTTACTAAATTGAACATGGGATATTTTATGACCACTGTAAAATAATATGCACAGTGTATTTTCGTTCCTGACAATTATTTTCACTTGGTAATAACAGACTTTACAAACCCCAATAACAACAAAAACGGTCCGCCACTGACTCGTCCATACTCTTCGCCCAACTTCGCGCGTTGCGCATTCATCCCTCCCACCCGATGTACTTCTGCTTTAAAATAAGCTCTACCATAGAAATAAAAGCTAAAATTCCCGGTAGGCCACCAGTTGTGCAGCCGCGTGATCAACGACAACTAATGAAAATTTATAAAAGTGGACAACGGAGCATTTCAAGAGAAATTACTAATCGCTGGAATAGCGACAACCAACTAAATTTTTCAAGAAAATATTGTCGCGAATGGATATACAAATCAGGCCTTGGTTTTTACATTGTAAATCTTAGAAAGCTATCTTGGATGTACTTTATTATTGGGGTTTCAACTCCTTTCCTTTCGTATTATAGAACACGTATACGACGCGTGCCCGAATAGGTGTCGAGTTCAAGCTAACGTTTTTGTCGGAGGTCACCAATGTAAGTAAGTGAAGAAAATGTTTGCTGCTCCGCTGCGGAATCGAACCGCAGATATCCCATTTGCCGGGCAGGTGTCTTGTCCACTAGGTTACAGAGCGACTGATCTTTACTTCGCTTACCCAGCTATTGACCCTTTTCCTGTAAGCAAAGTGAGTAGACATTATATAAATTCCAATGATACAGAGTGAGACAACATCGCGCAGGCGAAGTTAGATTTTTGGAGCGCCAAGTTAAAATTAACCAATGAGCGACAGATTACGCATGTGTAGCCGGTTGCATTCTATCAAAGCGGTTTGTTGTCACAGGCCTTTTGCTTTGCTGCCGGAGTGCCGGATACTATTTCCAACGTGGTTTTGAAGATGCGTGCGCACGGAAAGTCACTATGGAAGTTTTACGATCTTACAGGAAAAGGGTCAATTATTGTCCGGCCACAAATATAATCATGACGCGCTGGATCGCCGGGACTCAGTAGCGGGTGAAAACACTGAATTTAATCGTCACTTATTCCATAAATACAATTAACGAAAACGTAATTAGTAAAACGGACAAGTAAATGAGAAGGGGAATTAACAGCAGAGTACAACGAAGCAACGTTAATTTATTCTCAAATCAACAAAGTGCAGCCCTTAACTGCAATGAATTCCCATCCCGTACGAGCCGTACCGAGTTTGACCTTGCCTAATTTTTATGATACGATTATTGTGACAATAGATAGTAATGAAAGTGAACCATCAGAACTGAGAAAAGTCACGACAAATTTAAGTAAGTAATGTTGATTTTTTTGTAGATATCTGTAAATACTTTGATTAGAGAAATTGATAATAAGCTTTCTAATATAGAAATTAACAAATAATATCTTTTATATGAGTACCTAAAAATAAACAACTTGATAAACTATTTAATAAAATGTGTTCGTTTGACTGTTCCAACGACTAAATTAGGTACAACAATTGATGCCGTTTTCACACGCTTTAATGGAACTGATATTTATATCACTCATTTTATTCACCATAGACCACTAATAACTGTATTAAATAAATGATAGGGATAAAGAAGGCGATAACGCTATGATTGAACAGTAATTTGTATTTTAAATCGAATAAATATAAATAGTGCTCTAGCATTTGTAAATATTTACTTGTTACTTTAATTGGTAAATTACACATTATACTTTAATTTTTTTATACAATATTATTATAATAATTGATTGTGATATTTCTATATAATAAATAAATAAAAAAAGCTAATTTTATAATAAACAACAATTGACAATAAATGGATATTTACCTTAATTAACCCAATCATCATCATTAATCATCATTTTGTCAAAAAATACAAATGCAACATATTTTTGGTTTTTATTATTTTTTAAGAGAATAGTAATGACTTCGCCGCGTTTGCGTATTTAATTTATATGAATTGACAACATTAAAGTTGAAACCTTATCCGTGCGTCCCTGGATCGACGCACTCTTTTTTTTATATATATTATTTTAGGCTAAAGTAAAGCCACAGTTAGCAACTGCCCACAAGAAAAATCGGGTAATATGCGCAAAATAAAAATTGGAGAAAAGTAATATCTAACGCTGAGTCCAAATTTGATGTCTGGATGAGATAATGGACGCAAAACAAAAAAGGAATTTTAATATGGATTATCTCAAACAGCAAGTTTGCAAACGGAAAAATGGTTTGGGAATTTAAAGGACAAATAACAGAGTTCAATTAAGGGAAATTAGTGAAATTACAAATGCAAGCAAATATCAAGAGACTTTGTAAAAAATATTAACAATTACTGAAGCAGTCTATACTGTTGGTATGTATATTTTTCAACAGGATGATGCTTCAAGTTACACAACTACAACACTCATTACAAATATTACTAATAATATAAATGTACTGTCCTGACGATCAAGTAACCCTGATCTTAATATAGTAGCCAAGGTATGGCGTGAAATAAAAAAATATTTGGGAAATCATCCCTGACAAACGATTGAAGAAATTAATTATAATTATAAATTTTCTGAGGACCCGGTGGGTGAGGTGGCTTGGCATCTGCCCACTACACCTTGGGTCGTGGGTTCGATTCCCGCTCTTCCTCTGGGTGTTTTTGTATGTCCCCTTTCCTGTAATTGGGCCTCTCGGCCTGTTGGAGAGTAATTATTAAAAAAAAAAAAATACACAGGAGTTATTATCGTATCCCACATTCGCTAAATCTTCAACAAGAAATTAGGCGAGTGTGGGTTACGATAATAACTCCCGTGTATTGCAGAAAATTAATCGAAAGTATGACGGCAAGAATTCCTGTAGTAATTAAGACAAAAAGATATGTGACCAGTACCTGAATTTGCATTGTGCCAATATTTATGTGCCACAAAATGTTACGTTGTTTTAGAGTTTTATGTCACTGTTTCAGTTAGAAATCAGTTTTTGTTGTGCTGTAAACAACAACAGTTTTGAAAACCGAGTTAAGTTTTAAACTGTAATTATCGAAAATAAATTATATTTTTCTTGAAAAGTGTTTTTTTTATAAAAATTTATTTTCGTCCCAATATTTAGTTGTTAGGGCTCCCACTATTTTGCACGCATGTCTTTTTTAAATGAATTTCACGCATTCACCAGAGATCAAATTTCTTGCACTCGTGTTTTTACTTCCTGTTACCATGGTAATTTTAACGTAGCCTGGAAACTTCAACAATGCGACATGTTTGCAACGCTGTTGATAGGTTTGTTTGTATGTATTTTATATGTAAATAATTCGAGGATAATCTTTTTTTTCGGTCGTGCCCAAAAAACGTTTATGCTATTCCTAACTATTTAGCGTTGTATTTCCAATTCAAATGTTGATGGAAATTTCAATAACATTTCAGAGGCTAGAGTTTAAACTCTATACACGTAAAAGTATTTATTTTTACGTGTATACCACAATTCAGGAGTTTTGATAAATCGTTCTGGAAATATATAACTGTTTCCTTATATACTCTTTAGCAACTTTGTATACTAATAGATATTTATACATCAAGAGATGTAGGTGATCGTTACCAGTTGAGGACGATGTTTGCGTCCGAGCGTCAGCGGGGGCAGACCAATAGTCCGAGACTGGTCAAAACCACTACTTACATGTCGAGTTGGATATAACATTTTTTCCACTTCCTACCGTAATTTTTAATAAATTTGTCTGCCAGTTTTCGGCTCGTGCCATCATTGGAACAGTGTGTCATAATCAGAATTTTGTCATTGACCTCGCTCCTCCTGTTCTACTTAGTAAGGACTTCCTCTCTTGTAACTTGGTGAAGTCACGACCAAGGTCGACCAAATTCGGGATTGTTTTCGATAATACACACTGATTTGGTTAATATCCTATTACGAGTTCGCTGGATATTTTGTTCGTGGTTGTATTCACCATGTTATTGGTAGAAAATTGAACTGTCTGGACGGCATTATCCCACGATTCTTTATTCTCACTCAAAGCGGCCAGTGCGCTTAAAATTATTCGATTTAGGCGTTTCACTTGATCGTTGCCTCGCGGCAGCGAGACGGCGACCTCGACGTGATGGATGTCGTTAGCGTCACAAAATCGGCAAAATTTCCTGGCCATAAAGGTTGTGCCTTCGTCGGTGATCGGTAATAATGCGATGTTGAAACCTGTAAATACTTTATTATTAATATAGGTATCTTAATATTATTATAGTATTGACTCTTTTTGGATGGGGTGTAAAGATACTTCCTTATACCTAGATAAGACTTCTTTTTTGTAAAAACACGCGATACAACTAGTGATGTACTTAGTCACACATTTGCCCATTCCCATAAACCAAAAGCGTTGACTTATTTTAGTTAATGTTTTTTAGTGCGCTTTTTTTCCTGCGCTTTCTACCGTACTCCTCTGGGAACTACGCACTGAATTGCGCACAGTGATTCTATACAAACGTCCATTTTGGAGGCCGTGTCAAGATATTCTTCAATTGCTGCCGCGTTAATATGCAGTTCCGTTGGACACGCAGGCTCGTACAAATTTAGCACAGGGCGCTCTGTCAGCACTCGTTTCAATGATGTGAAGGATTCTTTGATCGCATTGTCCCACAGCCATGGGTGATCCTTCCTTGCAAGGTTGGGAGTGGTTTGGCGATTAAGGCGTAATTTTTGACAAAATGCCAAAAATACTCAGTGCTTTCAAAAAACTGTCGTACTTGTTTCGAGTTCGTTGCAGTTGCAAATTCACTAACAGCCTTAGTTTTTCGCTTTTCAGTTTTCAGGATTTCAGAACCCAAATCTTCAAACGACATAACCAAAAACGACCACTTTTTTAAATTCAGCGTTAAGCCTTTTCTGCGCAGTCGTTGCAATATAGTTTTCAGCTTTTGTAAACTTTCTGAAACGTTTTTCCATGGGGGGAAGATATCGTCCAAGTAGACGGTGGCATCATCAGCTTGCAGAAACGAACGGGCCATTAGCTACGCCGAAGGGCATTCTATACGCTTTTGAATTTTCAGCTACCCATATTTGGATGAAACCCGAACAGAAGATCCAATAATGTGCATTAGGTAAACCCACTTAGCTGGTTCAAGTCGTCATCATCGGGGTAATGAGTATCGATGTTCCACTGCAAGACTATTTAGCTTTTTGTAGTTAATACACATGCGAACGTTGCAATCTTTCTTCTTTACTAACAGTATATGCGACGCGTACGGAAACTGAGACTCTTTCATGTTTCTTTACCATTTCGACTATTTAATGCTTCTGTCAAACGATACGAACTATATGTAAATAGTTGGTCTTGAGACAACCTTATCTTCAACTCCACGGACTTCGTTTCTACTATTGCCGACAAGTTTTGAGCGAAACCCTCACGGTATTGAACTAGAAAGTTCGCCAACTGTTTTCTTCGTAGATTGTTTAACGGTCCGGTTACGATTTGCTCGTCCAGCAACTGTGGCAACTCTGTAGGTTCCACCCAGTTGACACCTGTCACTTTCATAAATCTCTTTTTTGGAAACCACGGCGCATCGCGCGTTGATGCAACACTTTAGGTAATGCCAAATCGTGAGTAGCCAAATTAATGACCCGAATGTCTGGATTTAACTTAATGACAGTTCTAGGGAAAAGGTGTTCTTGACTATTCTTTCAGCTTATGCTGGCCTAAATGATCAGTGATCACCTCACCGACATATTCCAGGTGTGATGTCACTTGCACGATCGCATAATTTTGCGGGAAGTACAATTATGTCTTTTCCGGGATATAGAGTCACTTTCCGTTTAAATGAACGTATGATCACACCTGCGAAGCCGTACCAGCATCGTTTTCTATTAATATCATGAGTGTCTGACGAAGCCTAGGCTACGGTACCATGTAACTTGCTGGCGTCTATAAGCTAAACGTCATTCGTATTCACGGTTCGGCAATACAACCTTCACCCCTGTAGTCGTCGTTCTCTGGATACAAATGGAGTAGGACATCATAAATACTTCCGTAAATCTCTTCGCTCCAAGAAGAGAATCACAATATTTTTCTGCTGGAAATATCGATGCCAGTGGATTGCTCCTCTGACAGACAATTTCTTCGGAGTGATCGTCGGTTCCGATATGAATTGACGATCTTCGTCACACATTGGACCATATATTGCAGTAGTTGAAGATTTGAGGACAACAGCGACCTGGTGGTGGACCCTCATTCGGACGGGAACCCCTTAAGTATCCAGTAAGACATTTAAGTAATTCACATTTAAAACATGTTATGAAAAGGAGTAAACCGGATATAATCACGATGGTAATCACAGCGAAGATAGTCAAATGTCGAATGGTACATCTCTTATACTGATTCAACTTGAATTCGGTAGTTTTCAAGTCGTCGAGATTCAACGTGTTGATTTTCAATGGCTTCAGCTGGTGGTGCTCGGGAGGTGCCATATCTTCACAACAACTGTAATAAACAGATGAAATAACTTCAGACTCGGAATTGTCTCCTTGGGCATGCAACATACAACATATATTCCGGATAATCATATGGAAAATATTAAACTCATTATCTTTGGTTGGAATCGAGTACAAATAGTAAAGTGTATTTTTCCTTTTCAACTATTGGAATCCTTAAAATAAAAACAATACTTTACTTTTGTTTGTCTGATAGGCTTGTGAAGTTAAATTCAAAACTTTGATTGTGAATATTTGGATTCGAGAGTAAATTATTGTGACTTAATGTTGCGAAATTAAACTCAATTGGCTCAAAAGTGTTTCAGGTTTAATAATAATTGACGGGTGCAATATTTTTAGTTTAGCAAAAGTAATACTTTCTAATACATCATCTAACTTTGACTCAATTATTAATAAATATAAGTGATTCAAGCAACTGTTCACAAATACAAATAATTAAGACCCACCACTGACCCGGAAATGACCGGCATTCAGGCAAGACTTCTATCATTACGGGTACTAAGACCAAGTAAAGATATGCATTGATTAGATTAACAGAACAACTTTCGAGATTCTAGAATTACAGCATACAAATTAGTCTGATATTATTCTGTAATCTCACCCCATCCCCAGAAGTCTAGCGTAACTACTGACCATTTATCCGCGCATCACTTGGAAAGTGACCTACACTACTCTGACCTACTGGTGCTAATCTAATCTGACTGACATGATCAGACTGTTCAAGAAACTTACGAACAATATGACATGTTCCTAACAAAACAGCTTTTTGAATTTTGATAATTATTGAATCATTCAAATGCAAAGACTTTAAATTCTCAACTAAGCTATTTGGAACTACACCTACATTAGAGATAACTAGGGGTAGAATTGAAATTTTTTTAAGATTCAACATGGATTTCATTTCTATCGATAATTGTAGATATTTTGAAATCTTGGTGTGGTATGTTTGAATAATGTTGTTTGTGTTAGGAACAGCAATGTCAATGAGAATGGCTTCGTTCGTGTGTTTTTTGATAAGTATGATGTCTGGTCTGTTAGCTGTAATGTTTAAGTCTGTAAGTATTGTGCGATCCCAGTATAATTTGTATTTGTTATTTTCAAGGAACGGAGATGGAATGTAAGTGTAATACGGTGTCGTATCTTCGATTAAGTTCATAAGTGTTGCTAATTCTTTGTGGATGATTTTGGCGACGTTGTCGTGTCTAGCTTTGTAGTCAGTTTGTGCTAGGATGCTGCAAGAAGAGATTATGTGCTGGATCGTTTCAGGTTTTGCTTTGCAGAGACGACAGCAGTCGTTTTTTATGTTCGGATCTTTGATGATGTATTTTTTGTAATTCTTGGTATTGATTACTTGGTCTTGAATAGCAAACACAAATCCTTCTGTTTCGGCATACAAACCTGATTTTTCTAACCAAATCAATGACATCTTCTTATTGACATGAGTTTCTTCTAAGTCTTTGTAGAATTTTCCATGTAGTTGTTTTTGTTTTAGCCCACTTATTATTTTATCTATTGTGTGGGGGGTGTGAATTTCTTCGGTGTTCGACAGATTTAAGGGTGTGTGGTTCAAATCTGCTCTTGTGATGGTGCGAAACATTTCATTTCTTTCTGCTCGTTTCAAAAAATACTTCTTCAAATCTGAGATTTGTTTCTGACATAAGTTTTCTAGGTTCTGGAAACCTCTTCCTCCATTCTGTCTTGGTAATGAGAATCTTTCAATCGACGATTTTGGATGATGCCTTCTATACTGTGTGAAGATTTTCCTTGTTGCGATGTTTAAATTTTCAAGATCAGTTTTGGACCATTTAATGACTCCAAAAGAATATGTTAGCAGTGGAACGCAGAATGTATTTACTGCTTTCATTAAATTTTTTCCATTTAACTGTGTCTTCAATATTAATTTTAATCTCGCTAGGTATTGATCTTTCAACTGTGTTTTCGTTTTGGTATGATTGATGTGGGATGATTGACAGAAACCCAGATATTTGTATGTATCGTCTCGTTCTTGGGCTTCGATTATTTCGTTATTCTGGGTTATAATAATAATTTTTAATTGATTATTATTGAAGTAATAATTATTGTCTTCGATTTTATTAATTTCTTTTTCGATAATTTTTAAATCATCATTAAAGTTAATTTATCGGTTTGCAATTTTTAGATAGTATATTTAAAATTATTAGTAACTAGCCGACCCCGTGAACTTCGTTTCACCTACGATTTAATTTTGAATCTGCAAAACCGAATGCTTCGAAATCTTGCAGATGTTTTAAACATATGATAAGCATAATAAATTTTTATTCAAAATATATTTACTTATCCCCTCCAAAAAATTGATGACGTGAGCCCAAAATTTTGCCAAATGAATCCTCTCTAAAATGTCCAAGATAGAATGAGACTATACTTGTGATTTATCATTCCATTCATAATTTTTGGTTTTGCTTATAGGGGGTGTCTCAAAAAAATTAATCACTGAGTCAATTTATTTTATTGATTGAATCAAGAATTGCAAAACTGAATTTTGAAATATTGCAGACGTTTTGAAGTTACTGTTTGACATGGTAGGTTTTTAATCAAAATATATCTGTTTATCAAGCCCAAAAACTTGATGACGTTATCTCAAGATTTTGCCGAACAAATCCTATCTAAAATGTGCAAAACATCATCAGCATATTTTCGTAATTTATCATTGCATTCATATTTTTTAGATTTGTTTTTACAGTGACTCCAAAAAATGTATGGATCATTCAATTTATTTTAGAGAATAACTCAAGAGTTGAAGAAATGACTTCTTTGAGATCTTGCAGACGTTTTAAAGTTATTGTAAGCATGGTAAATTGTTAAGAATATTTACTTATTCCCCCCAAAAAATTGATGGAACGGCCCACTCGATTTTCGCAGATAATTTTGGGAATACAATACAGTTATTTTTAGTATTACACTGCACCAATCCAAGGTGGTATACGTGTTGATCGTAAATGTTGATTAGGTCATCACAAAATTGTGTGAAGAAAATACTCAACTTGAAAATGCTGAATATGTTTCATTATACTTTTGGTGCGAAGGAAGTTCTGTCGAAACAACGTTCGACCAAATTTTTGACAATGGTTGATATAAATAAAACTCAGTAGATGCTCATACTCGAAATACGAAGTATCTACTCGAATATCAAATCAAAATATTTCTAGTTTTTCTAGATGATGCTAATACTTCAGTAGGTAACAGTTGATGCTCAAGTAGTAGTAGTATCTCGATACAACAAAAACGGAAAACAGTGACAGTGTTCAACCATCCAGGCAAAAATCGAGTCAGCAAAATATAAGTTAGTATGGGGTAGACACCTTGAGTTGGGAATCTCTACGGTCAGTGTTAGAAAGAACGCACTGCACAATTTATGCATAAATAAAAGCTAATTATGTTACGACTTCAGTTTTAATTTATCGGATTCCGTGATTCCTTTACTCGACAATGTTTAAATTTTGGGAAAATTTTCGAATCGATTGAAGTTGATTGATGGTTGATC